AACTTTGTGGCTTATGAGCAGGATGGACAGATCAGGGTATCTATAGATGTTTACCTCTGTTTATCTTTAGAATGTGCATAATAGCATCAAACTAAATCACTGAGAGGTACACTCAATGTATATAAAATGTGAATTAGAAGTATTTATCAATTAATTTGTATATTGACAGCTATTACAGGTTTGTACTGAAAGGGTGAGAGTAACAAATTCTGCTCCTTAGGGATAGATAATCTTGTTGAGCATATTTATTTACTTTTTTTCTTTTCTTTTTGAGACAGGGTCTCAACTGGCATGGAACTTGCTATATAGATCAGGCTAGCCTTGATCTCACAGAGATCCACTTGCCTGCACCTCAAAGGTGCTGGGATTAAAGGCATGTGCCAACACACCTGGCTCACTGAGCACATTTCTAGCTGAACAGCAACACATATAATGTGTTTAGGTATAAAATTTAGGTCTTGCAGAATAAATCTAAATTTAATCCAACAATTTATAGCTTTCAATTAATTTTGACAATTATGCACATACTAAACACCCCTCCCCCAAGATTCCAAAATTGACATTTGGAAAAGAAGCCCATGATGTTCTTTAAACCTCTCTTCATCTAGGAGTCCCTATACGAGTAAATGTCAGCATCATTTTGGGGGGAGGAAGAGAGAAAGATAGATGGGGGAAAGAAGAAGAAAGAGGAGGAGGCGGACGAGGGAGGGAAGGAGGAGGGAGGGAAGGAGGAGAGAGGGAAGGAGGAGGGAGGGAAGGAAGTGGTGAGGACAAGAAAGAGGAGGAAAAGGAAGGAAGGAAAAGAAAAAAGAAACATGGCTTTTGTCTTAATCTTGATCTCCCTCACCCATCACATTCATCATCTCTAGATTCTAGGAATTGCTTGGCTTTGGATGTTTTCTTCATCAGTTCCATGTACAAAGCAACCATGCCTGTCGAATATGAATATGCCTGGTCTCTCCTTACATTTCTTCTTGCTCTTTACAATCTGCTCTAACCAGAATGATATTTTTTAAATCATGAGAAAATATATCATGTCTTGCTTTGAACTCGCGTAATATTCCTGTCCACCTCACAGCACACACTCTCTTCAGCTAGTCCCTGTCACACCTATATCAGGATACTGTGATTCTTTGTCTCTACAGCACTGTACTATCTTACATATCCATTCTCCAACCCCTCTCTGGAATCCTCAGGTTACCCCACCCATTAATATCGTATTTCTAGAACTGGGCATACAAGCTACATGTGTTAAGTACAGGAAAACACTGATGAATCAACAGAGCACATGACCAACCCTTACACTGAGACCCCACAGGTGTTGGAAGACCCCAAAGATGGAAACCTGTGATGGGTTTCTCTTTGAAAATGGGAAGGAAGCACTTTGACCTCTTCCCACTGCGTGTGCCCTTTTATTTTCTGAAGTTGTTTCTTCTTCTGAAATTCTATTTCCCTTCTGTATTTCTCCTGAGCATTTCTTTTTTTATTCTACTTATGATTCCAAACCAGACCCCAGTGAATTTCAATTCCCATTAAGCGTAATGGTGGGTATCAGTACTTGGGTGCCATGTACCTCACCTAAAGTGTTTGACAGTCCTGCTGAATAATATACGGGTTTCAACATGTAAGAAAAATAAGGTTGAATTTCAGCGAGGAAATGCTGACCAAAGTCAAACGAGCTATCTGTTTATATGCTGTCCATCCAGAGCTCTCACTGCATTTGAACAATGCAGTGGCACCAGTAAGCACTCACACCAGAAGCACAGGGACAATTCCAACTGCAAAGTGACACTTTGGAGTAAGGTATACTCATACACATTTGCATTTAAAGCTATTTACAGTTACGGATTCCATCTTTTCCATGATCCTTAAAATACTCCAGTAGCTAAATGTTCACACTTGTCCTTTTTAGCTTTAAAAGAAATGTCACATATTAGGTTTCTGGAAATGACCCACATTCAGATGTGAACCAAACATAATAGCTTCTGCCACTCAGCAAGCAGTGAATTGCTGCATATGTAGGGCACAGGGCAGAGGACTTGGCAAATTGCTTTGCTTCACTGGCCATCATCAGAACCTGTGGCATAATATGTGACCTATTTCTCCAAACAATAATGCCTAAGGCTTCGCAGACAGGTGGAGTGCAGTTTCTCTTTTAATTACATTTCGAAGAAACAACTTAAAATTCAAAAATTTCAGGCATATTGAAAATGTGTATTATTAAAAGAACCTCAAATTGCCAGCAATCACATTCTAATACTGTAATATTCAGTAAAGTATCAGAAAATGTTAACTTAAAAACTCAGTCTTCAAAAATTATAAAAATACTGCGAAAAGTGATAGATCCCATTCTTAGAGTCACTGGTTGTTAGGATTTTCAAATGTGTTTGCCATTCCCTTCTGCCTAATGGGAGCCAACAGCCTCCATTTTATGTAATTCAACTTGCTAGTCACATTAGTGCATGCCTGAAATGGAACATATGAAAAGAACTGTGTTTGCTTTACTCATCAATGTCACAAACACACAACTAGACCTGTTTTACATTATTAGTTGTTGTTTTTTTTTTCTGGAATTTGCCTAACATCTTGTTAGTATCTTCAGTTTTCTACAGACAACCTGAAAAGTAGAAGGCTCAAAGGATAAAATATCCTTATATCCAGAAGAATAAAGCAATTAGTTGTTAGTTATATGTCATAGTGCATGATGAATTTTATCACCAAAAATTGTACAATCATCAATTTCCTATTTATTTATTTTTATTTTGCACTCACATTTACTGGGTGTTTTTTTTTTTTCCCTTGTTCCTGTAAACTGGATTTATAGTGCTGCAAAATATGCTGAAAACTAATAAAGTTTTGTAAATTGACTCATTAACAGCACATCATGGGGCTTTTCATTGGAAAATGCCACCCAAAATGGCAAGAAAAAATTAAATGCAACTAAAATGCAATTAATCTTTGCACAGCTTTCTGTATTCTAACATGCCATTTTGTTTTCTGTCAAAACATTTGTTAACTGTCCTGCAGATCCAAGCGTTGATGTTTACATAATTATTCTTTCACACAGAATAAAAGAGAAATAAAAAGAAGACATACATTTTCTGGGCAGAAGAAACAGAAGCCAGTAGAAACAGGACTGTGATTCCTAATTAATTCAAAGTTAATTGCATTGTTGATAATCCTGCACTTAAAATCTTCATATAGAAAATGTTTATGGCAGCAAGTTGACAGTAATTTAACTACATTAAATCTTACCACCATTAAAATAAAAAGATGAATGTTCCATTGAACAAGCTTAAGAGAATGGTGAAGAGTAGCTCTTGTTTAACAAGCCAACTAGGGGGCTGGGGCGATGGCACAGTGGTAAAGAGCACTGGCTCCTCTTACAGAGGGCCTGGGTTTGGTTCCCAGAACCCACATGGTGGCTAACAACTTTCTGTAACTCCAGTTCCAGAGTATACTACGCCCTCTTCTGCCTTCTGTGGGCATTACACAACTCAGATGCATTTACATACATGCAGGCAGCACACTCATACATATAAAATAAAAATAATAAATTTTAAAAAATTAAAAAGCCAGCTAGTAATGACCCAGAATCTCAAAACACAGCAAAGACAATGGATGCATTCCAAGATGGTGCTAGACAGGCCAGGGAGGTGGCTCGGTATACGGCACCTGAGATGCATTTGTAAGACCCTGGGTTTGATTCCTAGAACCAATGAATACCCCCCGCCTACACACACACTCACATTCACACTCATAGATATGTGTTTCTGCACGTGTGTGTGTGTGTAACACTAGCTATGAAGCTGTAGAGCCAGTCTTGTGATTGAAAAATAAAATAGACTCATAGATCTTATTAATAATGGTCAAAAATCTGTTACTATTTTAGAAAGACTCAAGATGGAAGTAAAGATGTTAATTGTATTTGTTGTTTTTAACTTCAGTGAACATGATAGAACAAAGTAAATTCTGAATATAATTTCATTTTTAAATTCTATTTTTGTTATTTATGAACAGTAAGACTAGCTTTTTCATGGAGTATTAGCTGTCACTGAAGTGTCATTGGAATGTCATTGTAATGAGTTCTAATATGGATCATCTTGACTAACTCGAACACAATTTTCTCATTCTGACCACTAAAGTAAAACACATCTGATTCTCCTATTGGAATTAATAGAAAGGTATGTCTGTGTGGTACCCAAATGTCCTTGCAATCCAGTTTACACCACAGACACTTTTCTAAACCTCTCACAGGCGAGAGAATTGACACTGACCCATGAGGGACCTTAGTCTACCTTAGAGAAGGTTACCAACAGAACAGCACTGAAACTAATTCTACATATGTAGAATGAGTCAAAACTACACGAAGCCACAGGATAAACATGCCATTTATCTAGAGTTCTAGTTTTGTTCTGGGTTTTGACAAAACATATTAAAATAAATACCAGTGGATTAGGGAGAGTCTGCACGTTTATTCTTCTCTGTCATTGAGGGTATTTAGTGGAGAAGGCTTTTAAGCAGTGACTTAATTGATGTTTCTAATTCTCATACAGATGCCACTTATGAATATCAAAGGACTAATGAAATTTCTGTGGGGGGTACTCTGAAACCAATTTATGGAAAAAGAGTAAATCGAAATTTAATTTTCTTTAGAGAAATTCTTAACATTTAACTAATTCTGATACTCAATCCTGACCGATAGCCACATTATTTCTCAATTTCTGCAATCCTGTGAGTGTCAAAAATCAGTGAGTAGGCTGACAGGAAGCTATAGCAAAACTATCCATATTGCATTTGCTAGATTAGAATGTTTAGTTTAGAAAATAGTGTTTTCTGGAATTATGATCATCAAATAATTTCTGATGAAAAATGATGGGACAAATGAACTGGATAAACAGATGTTTGGTAAGAGAAATATAAACTGTTTAATACTTTGAAAGAAAAAAGAAATAGATTTGGAAAAAGTGAAGCCGATTAAGAAATCCTCTTCTTCTTAGGGTGCACAATGACTTTTGGGTATTAGATGCATTCCAGAGAATCCACAGCGATGAAGCTAAGTTCTTCGTGCCTCACGATTTGGAGATTTCCAATCAGGAGCTGAGTTACATTGTGAAAAGATCCAAGCAGTGGAGAGGGAGCGACGGTGAGAGGAGAAAGGTGAGCTGGTGTGAGGCCAGCCTGTCTGTGCCGAAGAGACTCTCTGCTAGTTCATCAGCGGGCTGTTGCGTTTCCTCGTGTTCTTGAAGTTGCTTATTGTCACATTTGATGCCACATTACACGTTTCACAATTTGATTTTATGTTGTTTTCTTTTTATTAATCAAAACTAGAAGCCGGGTGTGGAGGCGCTCCCCTTTAATCCTTGGGAGGCAGAGGCAGGCGGATCTTTGTCTGTTCAAGGCCAGCCTGGTCTACATAGTGAGTTCCAGGACAGCTGGGGCTACAGGGAGACCCTGTCTCAAAAAGACCAAAAAAAAAAAAAAAAAAACCCTAGGAAGTGGTTCTTACTTCTATCTTTGTGTCTACATCTGGCAAACCACTCTAAGTTTGTGGAGAACACAGAGGAGGCAGGCCTGGAGCATCAACATGGGAAGCCACTATCAGCTGTAACAGAACTTTGAGCGGGAAGGATGGAGGGGATATGTTTTCTTCCTTTGTGCCTTAGTGAGTCCTTAGAGACTCTTCTTTCTTTCAATGATCTCCCTTTCATTTTTCTAACTTTGATTTTCTTGGCATTACTGGGTACTGAACATAGGCCCTCAAGCATACTAGGAAAATCCTGTGTCACTGTGTTGTATCCCCAGTTCCCATACAAAACCGTTGACTGCAGTTGACCCTTGACCTCTAACCTCAGTACTTCAATGATTGTGTACCTGGCTTATTACATGTTTCTTATTCTACACACCGCTCTTTGGTTAAACTCCTTTCAAAATCTTGTCCATCCTTTTGAAGATCTTCAAATATATATATTTGACCACACATCTTTTTTGAGTTCCAAAATATTTAACCCAGTATCTTATTTGATATTTTTTAGATGGGTGGTCCAAAGATACCTTAATCTACTGTGACTTAGACCAAATCTGTCTCAGACATGTTACTTACTTACGAAGTGCATCCCGCCTTATTAGGAAGCCGAGCATTTATACTCCTGTAATCTTTGTGTGTTTCCTTTTCACCCATTCTGAACTGCAGAGGTCCAAATCTCAAGGGTTTTTTAAGCATGTTCTCATCTCATTGACTTTTATTTCATTAAATTCTATTGAACTCACTGTTATTCTCTTCTCGCATCCATTTTTTTTGCAGTGTATTTGCAACTTTTTACTATCCAACTGTGCCAGAGCTGTGGGATTTGCAGAATTGTACTCTGCACTTTGACCCTGCAGTTGCCTCATTTTTCACACTGTCTGTGAATTCACGCCCTGGTCACAACGACTTTTGTAACATGTGAATGTGACCCAGTCTTGCTTTGTAACCAATTCTTCCTTAATATCCCAGTGCCTATTTCTCATCTACATTTTCAGTCAAATCTCCTGCATCCTTACCACTCTTACTGCTTATCAGCATACATCTTTTAAAATATATGCAATTCACAAAAATATGAATAATTTTCTTAACCTATTGTACTTTTAAAGTTCCCATACACTCCTGTTTAAGGAAGAATCTTCCAACATCTCAGGCTGTCTGAGGTTGCCCAGCTCATGGAACCCTCTTTCTTTATACTAAGATCTGCTTGTAGAATAAGAGTGACTTCTCCATCTCTACATGTTTTATTTCTGCCAGAGTCTCTATGATGCTGTACTGATGTACCAGACAGGGTTCAATAAATGTGTGAATGGTTGGTATATTAATTACTTTTCTGTGCTATGATAAAATGCCATGGCCAAAGGCAACTTAAGGGAAACTTTCTTTTGGCTTATTGTTCCAGAGGGTGAGATGTCCATGATGGGGGGAGGCCTGGTGGGAGGAGCAGGAAACTGAGACATTTCAATTGCACTCAGGAATTAGACCAGGAACTGGAGATGGATTGAGGCTGTGAGCTCTCAAAGCCCACCCCCAGTGACATTCTTTCTCCGCAAGGCTTTCCCTCCTCAGGGTCCATAACCTCCCCAAACGGCACCACCAACAGTGGACCAAATGTGTGAATGCAGGAGGCATGGGGGACATTGTTCATACAAACCACCACAGTAGGCTAGTTGAACTTTCTTTGCCATAGAATGAACATTTAATGAACCTCATCCTGTTTCCTACTTGACAGAAATTAAACATGAGATTAAGAAAATTCACATAGTTTAGCTATACTCAAGCATATCTATAATTCCGCTTGACAATTAACAGAACAGTTCAACAGACATTTCCAAGACCTCTGTCTTTGAACTGAGGCAAAATAAATTTAGCTCTTCCGTGTATTTATACAGGATTCTTGTTGACTAACAGTAACATTTGCAAAGGCCCCAGAGTTTTGAAGGTAATTACGCAAGAGCACTCCCTCTCTAAGATAATCTCACAGTGCCTGAGGTAGGTAAAGTGTATTTTATTTCATTATTAAGTTTCACAACATGGATGTTTAGAAATTTGGAAGCAATCCAAAGGAGAGTACCAGGATGATCTGACTCCAACAGCAATATGCAAAAACAAAAGGTGAAGAAAACATAATATTTGAATGTTTGTTGGATTGATTTTAGCAAGGGGGAAGAGAGATGAAGAAAACTAATGCTGTAGATGCTAAAAGGATAATGAAAAGAATGGTGCAATTATTTAATCTTTTTGAATTAATAGTTATGTTGTCCCTTGAAAAATCACTTAGCTGGCCCACATTGGACAAAATGAGAGAATAGGAGATAGTAAACCTCAAGTGACCATAATTCTGTTCAAATGGATCAAAGAAAAGAACAATTTGAGTAAATGTAATTAAAGTAAACAACCACAACCGAGGACGTAATCTTGGCTTAGATTCAGTTGTGCCCTATGTCTAGATAAATATCCATTATTCGGTTTATTACACAAACAGACCCAGCATCTATCAGAGATAAGAACTATGAATACATTTCACAAATCACTTGAAACCCCACAGAACACCTGTTATTCCTTGTTGGTAGGCTTATATTTGTTAAGAATACACAAACACACCCAAATGTAAATTAACAGACACAGGCCAGAGGCTCGGTGGGTAAAGATGTTTGCCGCCAAGATGGCCTGGGGTCCATTCCTGGGATCCACGTGGGACAGAGGGGCTCCCACAGTTTGGACTCTCACCTCCATGTGCATGCGGTGGCCTATACATGTGTGCAGGCACACATAAACACATACATGTAAATAAAATTTATTTTTTATTTAAAAAATAAATGCCATATATATATATTTATATGGCTTATTATGTCTTCTTGGACCCTGGATATTTTCACCATGAGGCTTTCTTAAAATTCAATTTGCATGCTATCTTTCTTACCATCTTATATTTGTTTGTTCAGTTTATTTCAGCAAGAAGGCAAGGTTGTCTTGATGAATAATTGATGCGCTAATCTCAAGATACAGTACCAGTTTAATTGAGATTATCTTTAATCTAAAATGCCAAATTAAAAATGGAAGAAATATTTTAATATAAAAGAACAGACGAAATATTTATAATATAAAGTATTTCAAATGAGTAGCCTTGAAATCATTTTTATATTTATTTATTGTGTGTGTGTGTGTGTGTGTGTGTGTGTTTCTGCACTCATGTGCCACAGCATGTATGTGGTGGTTGGTCATAGGACAGCTTTTAAGAGTCAATTGACTCATTCCACCATGTGGGTCCCATAGGTCGAACTCAGGTCTTCAGGTTGGTGGCAAGCATCCCTACCCGCTGAGCCATTTCACTGGCTCCTAGATTCTTGTGCTCTAAAAATTCAATCTAGATTTTTGCCATAGTGCTATTAACAATATGTCTCATTTTTGTGTTCTGGAAAAAAATTGTCCCATAAGTGGACACTTTATAATATGCTTAATTTCCCTTTATTAAAATGATAAATGCAGAAGCAGAGAGCACAGTTTCACTATGATGAGAATTTAACATTGTTGCTTTGTATAATTTTTATATTGTTCATACATATAATTTGTCATTTGTACAGTGACAGCCAGATGATAATCTCTAAATATTTTAGCCATCTTTTTCTTGTTGTTGTTAAGGAAAGGTCACTTTCAATAGTCAGAAAAGACATCATTCTATTAAACTAATTTGCCTACATGCAAATTTTGTCATTTTTACCTCATTAACTATTTATCATGGAGTAAAAAATATATATATTCATGAAGGGGCAGCTTGCAGCCTGATGGAGTTGGAACTAATATTTTGCAACTCTAATGGTTCTTTGCATCCTTAATTAGATAGCATAAGGTTGATATGATTAGGTCAGGATGTAGTGTTTTTCATTAAAATACATTTTAGAAGCTGTATTCATAATCTGCCCTTGCAATTAAATAATGAGCCTATGAATTTAATATTATCGACCCAATTATTATCCCATGCAAACGTATACCTTTAATAAATTTGTGCCGTAGGACCTTCATTAGCGACAGAAAGAATGATATTTCTAGGTACGTAGATTGAATGGCTATGGTTAAACTTATATAATGGTCTTAAATATATCAGAAAGCAAAGCTTCAATACCTAGCCATTTCATTCCAAAATGTGCCTTACTATTTGTTGAAGACTAATTTGCATTGTAATTATTTTCTTAAAGAAACTACCACTTTAAAACGGGCTATTGAAGCTCATAAAAATAGCAGGATATTAGGTAGAGATGAAGGGTGAGAGGCAGTTGTACATTATGGGACAATGGAGTGCAAATTTAGAGATCCATTCAAGGGCAAAACTGGAAAGCATAAAACCTAAAACGTCCATTTCTCGTGTCTGTATTATCCACAAACAACCATAGGCAATTAAAGATGATGATTATTTTTGTTGTTACGTGTTAGTGTGGTTTGTTGAAAAATGGTTGTGCAGGGAAATTAGAAAAGATATTCTGAGAAGGAATCACCTGTACCTTCATATGAATATGTTTACAGGGAAGCAGGCACACACATAGAAACATAGTTCACCCATTAAGTTGGTACTGGTCCGCTACTTTGTGCACTGGGGCAGTAAACCTCATTGATCCACATCTTTAGTCTATTTATTCCT